GGGGGGGGGGGGGGTGTACTCAAAGCTCTCTGGCTCGGTGGGGTTTTTCCCTCGTAATGCGGTCCCGTCCGGTGGAAACATGAGTCTCTACAAAGTACGTCGTGAGTGACGACGTTGGAGCGTCGTGCAAATCATGATCATCGTCGCTGTAGCCTCTGTGCTTCGGGAACGCAATGGGCAGGCGATGCCACGAACGAGATTGCAACGGAGGTTTTTGCTTGGTTGTGGTCCTGATCATGTACACCCTACCCGATTCCTTGCTTTTTTCATCAGGGCGGCAAGACTGAGGAGGAGATGGAAGCAGACAAGCAGGCTCGTTTGGCCCGGCAAAAGAGCTTGTCAGGTGAAAAGCATCAACAACCTGCGTTCTTCGTTTTTTTTCTGAGGAATAATGCTTCACGTGAAGAACTCTCACCCCCGTTGGTCAGACAATAATTGTTTTTGTCTCTACTCTGTTGACGAGTTCTTCACATGAAAAACTCTCACCCTCGTTTTCGTCCTTTTCTCGGGATTGACAGGCCGACACGCCGCGCAAGGTGTGGGAAGCACCACGCTTGTCCGAAACTGTCGGTTTTGTCTCTCTCTTTCCGCCGTAGCACCTTAAATCTCGTGGTATTTTATTTCAAGATCGTCGATGTCGGCGCGCACCAATCGCTAGGCTAGCTATTCGCAGCACAAACGGTTCGTAGTAGCTTCAAGAGTGCGGTGTCCCCGAAGTGTGAACTGTTTTCCCGCAGTTGTTGATGCTGATTGTTTCGTGCTCCCTTTCCGCCGTAACAACGACCCGCCGAAACAGGCGCGAAGGTGGCGAGGGAGGCGAGCGGCAGCGACGCCTTGCTGCGTCGCCAGAGCTCCAACGTCAACGCCGGCCACGAGATCGACCTCTCGGCTTCGGCTGGCAAGAAGGACGCCAAGGTGGAGGAGGAGAAGCTCCCCAAGCCTCCCAGGTACACCCTACGTTCTCTTGCCCTTTTTTTTCGCAAATACACAATCACAGAGACGTCGNAACCCCCCCCCCCCCCGTAAACTGATTTCAAGCTCGATTGCTCCACAACGTTGTCAGGTGTCCGTGCGGTAAATGACGTACGGTGCCACACACCCCTGGGCCGATCTTCAGAGCTCGATTACTCTGCAGCAGAGAAGAGCCACGGTGCCGAAATTGGCGGCGTTGGAACCATCGCGCCGAGAGCTTTCCTAAAGTGTACCGTTTGATGTAGGCATTTTTCTCGTCCTCGAGTAATCGAGGTTGAAAATTGGTCCAAGGGACTGCTGTGGTGTATTACGTGACGTCATCTACCTCTTGCATGTGGGTGCCCGAGTCGGCCTCATATGATCGATTGTGAATCAGGGCCGTGCACGCAGCACATCGAGTATGGTTGGTTCCATGCGGGGCTGGAGAGTAGTTGCACGCCACTCGACAGTTGCAGTCACCTGGGCTGTAAACAATCAATCGCTAACGGACGGATGTCGACGCCTCTCGCTCTCTCTGGACCTACTTCTGTTTCGGACCTCCTCACCAACCAAGGGGCCGCATGTGGTCGCTCAACAAGGGAGACTGGCCGTGGCTCGTGTTGGGCGTTATCGGCGCCATCATCGCGGGTGGTACGGCCCCTTCCGAGGGGGTCTTCATCGCGCACGTGCAGGTGTGGGTGTGTATGTTTCGAATTAGCGTGGACCGCGCCAGTCGTCTGGCCAACAAGAAGTCGTCAGTCTCAGGACAACACGGGCATAGTAAACAGTCAGTTTAGGACATTGTAACGGACATTGACTCTAACAGGATAACGGATCGATCGGTGAGAGACATCGTCATATGTGTGGTGGGTTTGATAACATCGCCTTCGTACTTGAGTAACCCCCCCCCCCCCCCCCCCCCCCCNAACCCCCCCCCCCCCCCTCCTCCTCTGACCGTTGTCATTACCAGAGCAACCTCTACCGAGAGGACATAGACGAGATGCGCACGATCGGTAACCGCTGGGCCCTCGGCTTCGTGGGTCTCGGGCTTACCGCTCTCGTTGGCAACTTCGTCCTGTCCACCGGCTTCGCCGTTGCTGGGGAACGCATGACCAGGACCCTGCGGAAGATGGCCTTCGAAGCGATGGTAAGGATACGAGAAAATGATGCCCGCGATGATGATGATGATGATGATGATGATGATGATGGTGGTGGTGGTGCTTTGTTTGTTGAACCACGTGCTTGGCCGCAGGCCGGGCTCTTTTTGTTTTCTCTCTTGTTACCCTCTCCCTCTATTTCTAGTGTCTTTTTTGTTGTCCCTGTCTTGGGGGGTGAGGGTCTAGCGTTATGTCGCTTCGGTGCGTGTGCGCTTCCATAGGCCTGGTGCGGAGAGATGAGTTGGAGTGGCACCTCGATGATGGGAGGCATCTAGATTGCGACTCACGCGTGAGTGGTGATTGTGTGTGTGAAGGGTTATCGCGAGGGGGGCGATATCGCGTGTGTTCCCGACACCACCACCTGTTTTGTCTTCATATCGTTTGTCGATCTTTCCCCATATTGATCGTGCACCACAGGGTAACCCCCACCCCCCGGTTTCTTATGGTTCCGTTTGACGTCCCCCCTAGGTGCGGCACGACATCTCGTGGTTCGACAAGGAATCCTCCGCAGTGGGAATCCTTACCTCCCGTCTTGAGTCAGAAGCCTCCATGGTGAGCTGTTGTTGTCGTTGTAGCTCTTGCTCTTGTTGTCAACTTTGTTTTGTTTATTGTTGTCGTGGTTGCTGTTGCCGTTCTGCTCTTGTTCTTGCTGTTGATGTTGTTGTCTTTGGTGGCAATAAAAAAATTATTGGGATCTCTACTCGTCACCTCCTAAAACTGGTCCGACTGACTCGGGCGCCTTCCGTGGGCAGGCAAGAACCATGCAGACGGCGCATGTCATCAACGGCGGTAGGAAATCCCGGGGTTGGTATCTTGCTTGCACCCTGGCTATCTTATCCTCCCACACGGTAACCAGCATCAACCCTTCTTGGCTTGGTACACCGTGCTCGTACGGGACGAATGGTTGGCCGCCTACTAGCTTGCAGATCTGCTGAGAAATTTTTGCTTCTAGAGAAGGGAGCGCTACATGCACTCCTTCTCGAGGTTACAAGGGGGGGATGGAGAGAGGAACCCTTCTGTGTGAGTGACCACGGATATGAGCTCTCGCCCGGCAGAAGAGATGTGTGAGAGCGCCGATTCAAAGTGATGAACATCAATTAGTCACCCCCTGATTCCATACCAGTATTTCAAAGCTACAATCCTCGCTCGAAACACACATTGCATGCATTTCTCATGGCAAACCCGGGGATGCTTCGCGATGTGTTCCCTCCGCAGGTGCGGAGATCGACCGGGAGCAACGTTGCCCACTCGACCCAGCTCATGATGACCCTTACCATCGGTACCGTCATTGGTCTTGTCTTCGCCTGGCAGATCGGTAAGAGAAACTTCGTAAGAGATAGCAATGGGGTGAGAGATGGAGCTGAGAGGAGAGATATGCATAGCAGCGAAGAGCCCAGGTTGTGTCGAAGCGATGTTGTTGGCGTCGTTTTGGTTTGGTGGTTCCGCCAGTCGCAGAACAGAACAAAGAACGAGAAGAATGATTCCGTTACGGTACCTCTGCAGATACTATCCAACTACGAGCAAATTATGTTTTGCTGGTGTGATCGATGTACCTGATATGCGTGTACATCCGGGCTAAAATAGCCATCGTTGACCAGTCCCTGCCGAGCACTCTTGTTTCATTCTTCGGAAATTTCATCGGACCCCAAAAATATCCGCATGCATGTCATGCTGGCCTCTTCCTACTCCCGCAGGACTGCTCGCCATGGCCATGATCCCCTTGATCGCCGCAGCGGGGGTTGTGCAGATGGCGATGCTTACGGGCGGCTACGGTGACAACGACGTGAGCGTTTTATCTTTCGTGTTTATTATCAACCCAACCCAACCAACCTCTGTTTTTCCGACAGTAATTTCGTCTTTGACGTCCCCAAAGCCAAATACAAAGCACACGATTAATTCACTAAAATTATTGTGTATTTGTAGCAACATTGTATTTGGTCTATGGTGCGCCGCATGGCAAGTGCGCGGCCGCCCAGGGCTGTTTTCGATTGGCCGGTTCCTCAAGAACAGGATGTTCGGTTGACTTCGATCCACGACTCACATGTGCTCGAGGTCCATGCTAGCTCAAACACGCCGTTTTGCTGCTCTACCGCATGCCGCACATCGTTCTGATTGGCCGACGAAACGGTGTGACCGGTAGAGGACCGTACTGACGGAGGCGAAAACAATCTCTTTGTTCTTGTTGACAGGGTCTTGACGGTGGCGGAGGTGCCGCGGGTCTGCTAAGCTCCTCCCTTCAGGGGATGACCACGGTGACCGCCTTCAACATGCAGGAGAAGCTCGCACAGGACTACAAGCAGGCGTCCGAGGTGTGCATTCAACAACTACCATCTTACCGAGAGCTGGAAACTGTTGGCCCACTATGTTCTCTTTCTACGATGGTTTGTATCGAAGAAGTGACCACCATCTCTTGTGTATGCTCGTCCAGGCTACTCTGGTGCCAGTCTACATTACTGTCGCTCTATCTGAGTGACGCATCAGCCGGGGTCACACAGATTGCCACAGAATACGTTGTCTGTTTGTGTATCATTGGTTTGTTTTTAGCCCCACCTTTACTGAGCAGAGACCGGAACAATTTCTAGTGTGAAGACAACAACACCAACAGCAACATCCGTTTCCTCCAGCGATACTGCTGTGCGTGTTGCGTGTTTGTGTTTTCGCCTATCTCCCATGTTGCTTGAA